GTGAACCTAATGGTTACAATGCAATGTCTTTCATAGTTTCACTCATCATAACATATGATGTAGTTATTGATATTTTCTCACAAATCTTTAAAAAAACAGGAATTATTAAAACAATCTACCAAACATTTTCTCCATTATTTTTAGTATACAGGTCTGATTGTAATTCGTTATGCCATTTCTGAAAACAGGACTACTTCGGTGGACTCCATTCAGACTTCAATGGGTTGACCATAAAATGTCAAAGAACAGAACAAAAGCTCAAGAACCCGTTTTAAGGTTTTAAATTCATATTTCAATGGTTTTTTATTCATTTTCTCGTATATATTTTAAACATTATTTATCGATTTTGTTGTTAAAGAAGGAAGGTGACATACAATATGTTACAGGAGGCCAGTTGTATCCTGCCCAGGTGATTTTTTACTTGCATTTGGTATTTGACAATTACATAAATTTGTTGTTGGCTTAATATCTTTCTTGTTATTTCAGATCCTGTTTGGCTTTCTGTACATTGTGAATCTTGGAATAATCTTATTCATTTATATAGATGATTCAATGGATGATATTGGTGAGATTCCAATTCTATTGGAATGGAATGACGAATTCCAATTTTGTTGGAATGGAATGACGAATTCCAATTCTGTTGGAATCACATAAGTTGATGCTTGAAGAACGGAGCACATTATTCTTTTAGAATGTATTAGTCGTTGTTAGATATATATATATATATATAATATATATATATATATATATATATATATATATATATACTAGGTTATAACCCGTGTACTACACGGTTAAAATATTAAAATCATTATTTCCAAAAGAATAATAACTTAATATATAATCCAATTCATACTACAACATAAAAATGAAATAAATGACTTGAACCATTGTCATACCGGGAGAACAAAATCCAAGGTTTTACTCAAATCTTTCTTTGAAGTTCCAACTATATATAAATCGACATACCTAGGTAAGGTTATCAAACTGACTAATAATACCCACTACAGGTACAAAGGTTCATATGAATAATAAGCAAACACCAATCCAAAGTCCAAGTTGAAAAATACTCAGTTTGTCTAGACTTATAACTGTCATCCTTTTTACAAACATTCATTTTACATAAAAAAACCATTACCAAGTCTTTACCGATAATGTTTAAACTAACATTTGTTTTTACCACTTGCACTCAAAAGTGCTATTGTAGAATACAAGAATAAACTTTCATTTGATTTGCAGAAGTTCAAAATAATGACCATTAAAGGTGTTATTTTGAGAAAATATAACAATATACTTTATTTCATGTATGTTAAAACTATTAAGATGACAAAATAATGGTTGATTTGCAGTAACTTAAAAAAGGAACCATTAAGGGGACATGGTTAATACAAATGGTGTCATCTTTAAAAGATATTATTAAGTAGAACATGCGCAAACTGACTAATACTACCCATTCCATTCACAAAAGTCAGTACACTACAAAAAATTGGATTAAACAATTAATAATGATGAACTTCTAGTAATCTATTGTTCTATTAACGATCACTACAAAAAAAATTAAAGAGATGTAAAATTAGTCACTAAACATTGTGTCTATGTGTATACACTATATGTAGTGTGTCTTTATCTGCAAGTAAGATGCTTTTTCTTGCAATTATAAGAAAAAAAGACCATAAAATGCAACTAAGATTGTAAAATCAACATTAAAATATAAGTACCTTGCTATTTCTTGCAATTAGCCAAAAGCAAGATGCTGTCAAACACCTATAAAGGTAACACATTGTTAAGTTTAAATTGCACTGCACTTTAAGAGCAATATACTTTATGTTTACTTGTAAGATGGTTTCACAAAAAACAACACCTATTTCAAAGGAATGTTAGCAATATTCATATCTGATAAAATATTAAAATTTAATGATTTGCAAGAAAACAGGCTTGGAAGTCAAATGAGAGATGAGACCCATATTTATAAGGAATGTCCATCAATCCTTTTGGTCAGGTTCAAATTACAACTTGTAAATCAATAATGAACCATTTGTCATATGTACACATTTGCCTCTTGTAGATTCTTATGTTTAGACCTCTGTATCCAGAATAATTAAAGAAATGATTTATTTGAATTATTAACATAAATAAATGAGTAATTATTTTGTCGAAATTAAAAACAAAATTACTAATCAATCAATATTAAATAGAACTACAAGTAACACTTACCTTGCACAAACCCATAAGTTGTATGACAAAAACATATACATGTACATTCAGCTTTGTAAATATTACTACACAAAACACTTCAGCCACTCTAATTATGACAACATAAAACACGTCAGCCACTGCATAAAGACATGCATATTCAATTTTCAAAAAATATGTAATTGTTCGGACTTACCAAACGTACATACGGTTGATATGTTAAATAATGACCTGAGCATTATAACATATAAATTTCATGTTCATAAACTACATGGTTTAAAAAAAGTGAAATGGTTAGACTAAAATAGTAAAAATGTTGAGTAGGAGTCGGTTTACACACTTAATTTTCAGTTGCTGGGAAAAAAATTCTGTGTAAGGAAAAAATAATGGAGTGTATAGCATGGAAACATTAGGTGAAAATATTACTCTCTCTCTCTCTCTCTCTTATATTAAGTATATTGATAAAGATATTATCAACTGCTCTGGTAGATCAACAAAACATATTATATGTATTCGATACCCAGCCAATAGATGAAATCCCCAGGTCTACAAAGATAACAAATATAGATGTACAAGTATGAGTGAGGGCAAATCGAAACATTAGAGTGAAAATAATAATCGAGAGTTTGAGAACCGAAACTTCCCTTTTTGTAAGATTGATGTCGCCATGAATTTTGATAAACCGATCAAACCTACAATCGAAAGCCCTCTAATCAATGAATACACTGTTGAAATAAGCATCTGCGAGGTTGAAGAAGAAGAGAACGATAGCCATAAAAATAATAATCATAACCCAAATAACCATTCAAGTTTACCTTTCAAAATTGGGGAAATAGTTGTGGATCAACGTTAGGGGTAACCCTGGTTCAATAACAACACCAATCGATTTGGGAGGAGACGTAAATGATGAAGAGACCAAGAAGAGCATTAAAAAGGATGGAGGTGAAGTTGTAATTGTATTACATGGTGAGATTAAGGAGTCAATTTTGTTCCTCAAATCATGGTGTTTTCTTAATCAAGTCGCAAATATTCGATAAAAAGGATGGAGGTGAAGTTGTAATTGTATTAAATGGTAAGATTAAGGAGTCAATTTTGTTCCTCAAATCATGGTGTTTTCTTAATCAAGTCGCAAATATTCGATAGGATAGCTGATTTCTCGGGTAAAATTTGGAAATTGTTTTCAATTTTTTTTCCATGAAAAAGGATTTCATTGAGGGATACTTTGAGCGGGAAAATAATTAGCGGAGGGTCTAGAAAGATTACACGTGGCAAAGTGGTTGTGTAAAAGAGAGTCATGTGGTTGTTTAGGGAGGTTTTTATTAAGAATATATATATATATATATATATATATATATATATATATATATATATATATATATATATATATATATATAATGTAATTTTCAAAAATATTAATTAATTATATCTACGACTACCCTTCATACCAACTAGAAAAAGGTCTGTGCGTTGCACGGGTGAAAGTTTAGTGACAAAAATATAAAGAAGTAAAAATAAAATGCCAAAATTATAAAGATGAAAAGTTTGTTGAAACTTTAGTGGCAAAATTAGTAAAAATAAAGTACCAAAACTATAAAGAGGAAAAGTTTGTTGAAACTTTAGTGGCAAAATTATAAAAAAGTAAAAATAAAGTGGTAAAATTATAAAAGAATAAAGAAAAAGGGTTTTAAAGAAGTAAAAGTGAAAGTTTAGTGGCAAAAATATGAAGAAGTAAAAATAAAGTGGCAAAATTATAAAAATGAAAAGTTTGTTGAAATTTTAGTGGCAAAATTAAGAAAAAGTAAAAATATAGTGTTAAAATTATAAACATGGAAGGTTTCGTGGCAAAAATATGAAGAAGTAAAAATAAAGTGGCAAAATTATAAAAATGAAAAGTTTTTTGAAACTTTAGTGGCAAAATTAAGAAAAAATAAAAATATAGTGTTAAAATTATAAACATTAAAAGTTTCCTGAAACCTTCCATGCGTTTTAATATATATATATAATTATCAAATGTATTTTTTCCTTAATAACAAAAAAAAGCTTCTCAAACACATTCTTGGATGGTAGCTCATCATTTTGCTGCTACACATAATATTCCAATTCTAGTTCCGATCTTCTTTCCCTATTCTTGATTACAAAATACCATTCCTCTCTATAAGCCCTAGTTTCGGAGACATCTGGTTCATGGTAAATCTTTTCGTGAAGTTGTTTGACTGAGAGATGAAAGCTGTTCTTATGTCCATGGCTCCTCTGTTTTTCAGGTTTTTGTCTCTGTTCAACACGGTAACTTTCTTCTTTTGATTCTTTAAAATTAAACTGTTCTTGTTAAACGGTATTTATTGTTTACCTTCATAAACAATCGAGATTGACCACTTCGAAGTGGGTTTTGACATTGGGAGTTTATTTTTGTTTTCTTCTAATTTAACATTTTCAAATAGTTCTTCCATTTTTGGTCTATATATTTACTTCTCCAAAAGTCAGCCTTTGTAGATATGACACAAATCCCAGAAAAAGGTCTGTTCGTTTCCCGATCTTTTGCATGCCTATTTTGCGTCTCAATGTTATTCTTAATCCTTTCTTCATCGATCCTATATCAATTTGGTGATGCATCTTTAGTACCCAGATCAATTTACAACATAATTATCGTAAAAACCACACCAGATTACATCAAACCTGATGAAACCAGAGTGGAATTCGAACCCAGTTCTCCCATTTTTGTATCTTTATCTTGTAAAGAATCATGTTCCAAAATCAACGCCGTGAAACCCGCCATTTGTGATCAAACTCAAGCTCTACTCAAAGTTTTTATGTACGATTTACCTCCTGAGTTTCACTTCGGATTACTAGGTTGGAAAGAAGATCGTAACCAAATCTGGCCTAATGTAAGCAACCTGAATCAAATCCCTTCGTACCCAGGTGGGTTAAACTTGCAACACAGTATAGAATATTGGCTCACTCTCGATCTTCTTTCTTCGGTTTCCCCAAATGTATCTAGACATTGCACTGCAGTTCTTATACAAAACTCCACCCAAGCAGACGTCATTTTCGTGCCTTTTTTCTCTTCTTTGAGTTACAATCGGCGTTCCAAGATTCACGGGACTGAGAAAACCACCATGGACAAGATTCTGCAACAAAAATTGGTGAAGTTTTTAAAAGGTAGAGATGAATGGAGAAGATCAGGAGGGAAGAATCATATAATCATGGCTCACCATCCGAATAGCATGCTTTTTGCAAGAAGACATCTGGGTTCTTCTATGTTTGTGCTCGCAGATTTCGGAAGGTACAGTTCACAGATTGCAAATATCGATAAAGACATTATTGCACCTTACAAACACGTCGTCAGGCGTCTTGATGCTCGTGATTCTCCTTCTTTTCAAGAACGACCCGTGTTGGTGTATTTCCAAGGAGCGATTTACAGGAAAGATGTAAGCTTTTTCGCTTTTCTTCTTTTCCACTTTTTCACTTTTTCTTGTTCGTGATTTCTTTTCATATGTTTATCTGAATAGGGTGGAGTGATTCGTCAAAAACTGTATCATCTACTTAAAGATGAAAAAGACGTTCACTTTACATTTGGAAGTGTGTCCTCTGGTGGGGTCCGCAAGGCGTCCAGAGGGATGTCTTCTTCTAAATTTTGCCTCAACATTGCAGGCGACACTCCTTCATCTAATCGACTGTTTGATGCGATTGCTAGTCATTGTGTTCCTGTGATAATTAGTGATGAGATCGAGCTTCCGTTTGAAGATGTTCTTGATTACTCAAAATTTGCGATATTTGTTCGTGCATCGGATGCTGTTAAAAAGGGGTATCTTATGAAGCTTCTTAGAAGGATTCGAAGAGATAAATGGATTCAAATGTGGGAAAGATTGAAAGAAATAGGGAAACATTTTGAGTATGAATATCCGTCAAAGAGTGGTGATGCTGTTGACATGATATGGCAGATGATTCATAGGAAGGTATCTTATGTACATGAGAGAGATGGTAGAAAAAACAGATATGACATGTCACAGAAGTTCTTAGATGCCATATGAGTTTTTTTCCCTGTTGGTCTCATCGAATTTGAGTCGTGGTTTCACAGCCAATATGGAAAAGTAAATCACAGTTTTTTTAGAGACTTAAATTATAGTATAGATTCTCACTTTATTACTGCCAAGGGCAAGCATAGTATATATTGTACGCTCCGAAAATCTTTTGTTGGTTTTTGAATTTTGAAATTACATGATTATATGAAATTATACAAAAAAAAATAAAAAATAAAATAAAATAAAATAAAAAAATAAGCATCACTAACGAATCTAATCTTGGGTTGGTAGTACTATCATAAGAAAGGGTAAACATCACCCTCATGCGTCCCCTACGATTCAGTCTCACAACCAATGTTTTAAAAACCGGTTTTTTAGTTGAACCGGTATAATGACCGGTTCAACCGATTTAACCGGTTCGACCGTTGACTGAACTGGTTTCTATATTTTTCATGTTTTTTTTTATTTTCCTACACATACATACATATATAAATTATGAATTTGATCTTTATAAGTTGAAACATTAAAAATACACATAAAAATAAGTTGTAAATAAATCCAAATACATTAAAATAACATATAACCATACGTTTTAATGTTTTACATTAATTCATATACGTTAAAAAGAAAATAAAATATAATATTGAAACCATATGTTTTTATTTAGAGAAAACTAAATAGATTTGGAAAAATAAAATCACCAAAGTTTATTATGTAAATGGTTCTTTTTCATGTGTTTTTATTCGGTTTAACTGGTTCAACCGGTTTATTTTGACCGGTTCAACCGGGTTTTTCTAAAAACCGGCCGGTTCAATCCGGTTCATAAAACAATGTAAAACCGGTGATAGTTGAACCGTTCCCTCTTCCGGTTTCCGGTCCAACCGGTTTGACCGGCCGGTTCAAACCGGTTTTTAAAACATTGCTCACAACAACAAACATAAGGAGGTAAATCATTAAACATGAGGTCCTTTAGAGCAAAGCATGTAGAGAGATACGTTCATATATAGAAACACAATACAAATGATCACCACCACATGCTAATCAAGATCAGAGATGGCCAACGATACAACAATACAAACATCCCATAAAAATAGGGTAAAGGGAGAAAACTAGGGGGAGTGGGTAAGGTTTCACCTACAGTTCTACCACATCATCACCCAAAATACCGCCTCCACACAGCGGTAGGAACCGTACTTTTCTCTCTTTACCTAAAAGTGTCATGCTTCTCCTCTCTCTTCTCTCTTCAGTTGTTTCTCTCTTCTCCCTATACCACACCAAGTATGTGGCAATTGGCAAAGAACCAATGGCACCTATGTGGCTACATGGCAAAGGAGAGGGTATAGTTCTTGTGGCACCATATCCTCCAACCTAACGCCTAGTTTCCGAGTTTAAGCAAAGAAAAGAAGAGAAGAGAATAGAAAGTGAGGAGAGAAAAGAATAAAAAGAAAAGGAAAATAAATTTGTCTTTTATGTTCCCGAGTTGGAGAGAAATGAAAGGAAAATTAATCATTTTGTTATTTCTTTCCAAATCTTTTCAATCGGAAGGAAAATTCAGAGGAAAATCCTTCCATTTCCCTCCACTTCCACCCTTTAATGAAACTCGAAAACACCAATTTTTTTTACTTTCTTCTTATTTCCATTCGTTTCCTTTCTTTTCTCTCATTAAATTGAACTCCAGAACCGGTTGTACTGTTGTAAGAGAGGTAGACAATCATAACTTTACCTAAAGAGAAGGGAGACTATTTTCATAAATAACCTTCACCAAGAACAAGTGTAAAGTGTAAACCTAATTTGAGTGAGAGAAAAAAGAGGGAACTGAAAAAAGTTTATACTACCAAAAAATAAAAAATAAAAACCATGAAAATAATCTAAACACCAGAATAAATAAATAAGATGTATATACTATATACACTTGGAGACTAAGGCATATACTACCCCACAATCCTATTTTAACCTTTCAACCCTCCTACCTCACATCGTGACCTCAAAAAAACCCAACCGACAAACTACCTTAGGTTATCTTCCCACTTCCTCCTCGAGAGCCTCTTCTCCATGTCATCAACCATTACAATCTCTACCTTCTTATTAAAGATGCTTTACATGCTGTTAATCTTCCTTCCCTCAAACAGATCAAAGCCACTTTCTACTGATTTATAATAACTGCATGTCCAATATTTCTACAAACTGAAAGCATCCTCATTTCTACAACTTACATATCCAGTCTCATATGCCTTTCTTTATCGATCAACATTCTGATATGTATAACATAGCTATATACCAAACTGACCTAACTGTAACCATCCCAAGGTTAAGGAATGGTAAGGCAGTGTTTAATCTCTTATGGGACTTGGATAAACTAAAGCAAGATAAAGCAGAAGTTATTCACCCATCATAACCATAGAAGCAAAAACAGAATTAACGGGGATTGAATGTAAAAGAGGCAAGTTGGACCACCACTATTTCAATCTTAATAAATTGTCCCCTATTATTAACCAACCAATCTTCTGTACTAGTGATCTTTTATGCATCCGACAAATTATGCCTGGTATATACTTGTATACATCAAGCACACACACACACACAGAGTATGTCATGATTTTCGGGAATAAAGGACAAGTGCAATAGTCACAAATATGGAAAAGAAATCAGCAACAAAATTTAACAGAGAGCTCTTGGGCCAACACAAATTTGAAAAGCAGCCACAACGGCTACCATATATTTCCGCAGAATATGCACAAATAGACCATTAAATTTTAGTTTACAAACAGAATTCATTGCGGTGGTATATAAAGGTTTTAGTGAGATATTTTGTAGGTAGGGGGGGAGAAGATACAACCCCTCTTAATGTGTAATAACAAAACAACAGGACAACAAAGCCGCAGGCATCTGTGCATATTATATTTATGAGTCCAACTCCAACCTCAGTATTCATATACTATTATTGAAGTGGCCCATGGGTGGTGGTGGCACCCACTGCAGGAGGTGGTGGGGTCACCATAGGTGATGGTGCCACTGCAGGTCCCGGTCCCGGTGCAATGGTGACCTGTAACCCTCTATGTTGCCCTGCCTGCATCATGAATGCCACGTCAGCAGCTGCCGCCAGTCCCGTCAGTCTTTCCGTTTCCTGTTTATTAAAATTAAAGCAGGCTTGTTACGATTTTATATACATCTACAAACTTTCTAGTGCCATTGTTGATAATGATGTTAAAAAAGGGCATTTATGTCTTTTTTATAGATAAGAAATCGCAATAATTGAAGGGTTATAATACCTGTGCTTGCCTGCGTCGCTGCAAGATACTGATGGCCCAGGCCATGATGTAGCAAGGAAGAAGAAAACCCGCTGCTCGAAGCATAAAAAGCTGCGGACACCAAGTCGTCGTCAATTTGTGTAAGAATAATGGTGTATGCATGAGAGGGGTATTTACGTCTTTTCAAGACATTGCGAGCAAAAGTCTCTATTTTCCACCTTTTTGGGTTGAGACAAAAAAAAAAATGCACTTTTTATCTCGTTGATATCAGCGTCAGTCCTTATCCAATGCATGTCAAATGCAGTACAATTTGTTGTGTTTTGTCTTGTGCAACAAACAGGGCCCATAGTAAAGAAGAAAGTCCACTTACAGCAAAAAAGGCAGAAGCATCATCATCATCATCATCCCCATCTCCGATTGTGAGTGCGTGCCTCAACAGCAGAAGAGCCATCAACTACAAAGAAAGTTCAAATAATGTTAAGAGCATGCAATGGATTGAGGAAAAACACCCTTTGCGTTAAGGAATGAAAATTAACAAAATGGAAAGAATCAGATTCCAATGGAATGAACCATTCCATTCCTTTTCAGATTCCATCATACTAAACACTGCCCTAGGGTCTGTTTGGATGGGCCTAGGGCAGCTGAGCACAAAATGAAATGAACCATTTCATATTTTCTCAAATATTTTTTAAACATTATTTATCCAGAGAGCGTTTAATTAAAAAAGAAAAAGAAACATGGGCCTACAATGAGAGCAGCTGAGCGACAAAATGAAGCTCCATTGGCACCGGTGTCCTCGTATTCATATTCGGCATCCAGAAGACTGCGTTCGGCAGCTGCCATTGCCAAAAGTCGAGGATCATTCAGGTCTATTGGAGTACCACCAATTGTCCAACTTGCACTGCAAATAAAATCATACCACATCAACAAAATTTTCAAATCTTCCATGACTTAATGGAATAACTGTTTGTCTTTCTTTATCACTTAATGCATAAAGAATGACATAACAGAGGAAGTCAGGAAAATGAGGCCTTCACCATTGAATATTTAACCTTTTTCACAAATTTACCCTCATTTACATTTTTATTTCATTTCTGCAAGTGTGTGTCAGTTTCTCAAATATGTTTTAAACCCTCAGTAATGAGTAATAGTAATACCACCTGATTTAAAATTAAAAAAAAGGGGCCTAAGCTATATTAATAAAAAGTAAGAAACTAAGAAGAACAGAGAGGTTTAAATGCCTGATATCAAGGACAGTGTCTTCTGACCGAGGGGGTGCAGTATAACCAGGTTCATAAGCCTGTGTAGTGTAATCATCCAATAAGTCAGCAACTCATCATATTCATATTTATCCATAGCATGCAAAAAACAATTACAATAGTATCTAATAATATTTGCAAAGAAACCAGTTGGGAAAAAAATTGATAATAGTTACAGAAAAGCACATCAAATGCAATAGCTATAGACTATAATCATAAGGTCTCATAAGCTTACTTTTAAGTGTTTACTACTGGTAAAAACATCAACTCGCAAACCTTTTCCTGAAAACAAATCTTAACATATGTAAGATTTTTAGATAAACCTCACTATTTGTAAACTTGCCATATTTCACACACATTTGGTAAATATGTTAGAAGCTTCTAACTAAAGTGTCTGGAAGAAAAGGTTGTATGAAGCTTCTGATGCAAAGTGACAAAGTTCCCCAACATTGTTAAACAATATCAACTTCAGTCAAGGCTTTAATGGAAATAAAGATATTACCAACATAAACCAATATTCTGCATGATTAAAATATATACTCGTTTACAACGTATCCCTTCAACCTCCACATGAGAAGTTTCAACATTTGAAAAACTTGGGAATATATTAATCCTTTCAAACTTGTTGCAATTTTTTAAAAGGAGCTTCCAGATGACAGGAAGGATTACCAGCTTCTTAACTCTAAAAAAAATTGGGTGAAATGTTAGAGAAGACCCATATGTAAGCTTAGATACCTGGTGACAGATTTCACAAATTGTGTCTCCTTTTTCATTGCACCATCGTTGAACACATTTCCTATGAGCAAACTGCAATAAATGAGTGCGTTAGTATTCATATGTTCTAGACTGCCAATAAACATACAGAAGATTATAGGTAAAAGGTGCAAAAAGATGATCTTTGTCCATTAAATATACCAACTAAAGAACGTCAGTGTAGAGCCTATGCAAAATGCAATTTATTGTGCATGAAATCTAATAAAGGCCTTAAAGAAGGGTAAAAAAACCACCTTGAGGCTGCCACTACAGGCACAAGGAACCTCCAGGTTTTTTATGGTATCCTCCTCCTGGCAGATACGACATTCAATTGACTGAATAAGTGGCTCATCTTCACCAGCTGTATCATATTCTTCATCCCCCTTCATGTCAGTAACGGAAATAGATGCATGACTGCAGGAAGCATCAGGAGATAATCCTGGAGCGTCCTCCGATTTTGATTTATTTGTCGCCAGCTGATCAACACGCAAAACCAGGTGGTCTTCCATCTGCAAAAGCAATACCATACCCTGATTAGTAACATATATTCTCAATTTCCCTCCACACAAGAAGTTTTAGCGGGTAAAACCTACCAAATGTGAGAGAAAGCAATAGACAGGAAATGCAGTACGTGATAAGAGCTCATTCAAAACTATCAGATGGCAAAAAAAAATATAGATGAGCTTAGGAAGTCTACAGTCACATTCAAAATTTGTTAATCTAGGGTTATGAAGAAGGAACGATGAGGTTATTTCTGGGAAATTCCACATCAACGGTGACCCCATGACTAATGAAATTTGATAGACATTAAAAAAGCATGAAATTGTTAACCTTTCTGCTCTAATTCCTTCCAGATTCCCACAATCGCAATGACCGGCTATATCGTCTAGAAGTAGTCAAAAAATCTAAAAGGGAAACTGCTCAAATGTGCGAAATACATAAAAGATCGGGACAATAGAGTAAGAAAACCCTAGAAATGAGCGTGAGAGGACATTGAAACGCATAAATTGCAACGGAAATCGATAAAGAATGAATGAAAGTGGAACAAATCTTGAATACCTCTAAACAAGTGTTGTGGATATGGTCGATTAGGCGGTGGTTTTTTTTGTAGATAATCTGGAATGCAGTACTTGAGATGAACGAGTCCTTGAGAGAAAAAGTCGTGAGCTCGAAATTGCAAAGAGGATGGTTGTATTTTGATTTTATGGACTTATGGATAAAATACAAAAAGTAACCCGCGACTTTGTATCTACTTTGATAAAGTCTTTAACCGTTCTTGATTTCATTAATTTCTAAGACATGTGGATACCTTCTTCTTTTTTTTTTTTTCTTTTTCTTTTAAGTGATTCGTACAATAGTTTTTCTTCACAACATTTTATACCATATAACATTTTGAAACATAAATTATTATGTATAGACTAATTTTATATTATTTTGTTTGTCATATCATATCATATGTTTGATACCATTTTATATTTATTAGAAAATATTCATCACAATCATTTTAATTTCCGCTTTAAATGTATATAAAAATAAGTTAAATAAAGGATATGTTGGCCGCGTTGGGGGAATGACGAAAGCAATGACGTAAAAAGTTATTATTATTGAAGACATTATTGAAGACACGCGTCCTTTCATTATGGAAGGAATTGTAATTATTTGTCATTTGTCTTTTATAATTATTATTGTCAATATGATATAAAGTAGTGTCTAGGATATGAAATAAAGTGTATAACCCTCAATAGTCTAGGGGGCTATATTGTAAATATGTATGTCGTATTGCAATCAAACGATTGCAACTCAATTATGTAACCGGCTCTCTTGAGCCTATAAATAGGGTCTTTGCCCATATGAAATAAACAAGTTAAGTTTGAGTGTTTAAGACTTGAGTTGATCGTTGAAATAGCCGTTCTATTTCTGAATAGCAGAGCCCTATCCAAACATACTCAAGATTATTCATATAATCATTCATATAATTTAAACAATCAATCGTCAATCCATCCTGACGCATCATTCAGGTATAATCCTATCCTATTCTTTTTATTAATTCCGTCATGTCGTTAATTTTGGTATCAAAGCCAAGTATCGTTCTTATTATGATTATGAATGATAAATCTTTTGTTCATATGAATATATGTTCATCATGCATCATCATAAATATTATTATAAATATTTATCGTTATGAGTTATCATCTTAAATTCAATGTTTAAAACAATTATTACTATGTACCTACAATTTAAAAACATATTTCGTAAAAAAAATTTTTAATTCTCAGTATGAAAACTTTGACATCATAACCACCATTATAAATATCATAAATAACAAACCCCATCATCCTATTAAAATCTATTATTTTTAGTCGTACCATTGAAAGAAAAACTAAATTATCATTTTAAAAATTATAATCATGAGTTTTTCAAGTTTAAATATTATTAAACAAGAATTAAAGTTTTTTCGTAAAACATTGAAACAATCTAAAATATTTCTTTTAAATTTAAAAATAGATTCTAACATATCAATAATTAATTGTATATCCAATATTGAAGCAATACATATAATAAATAATAGTATAAATTGAAAACAAGAAAAAATAAAAAATCTAGAAGATAAAATAACAAAACTAATATGTTAAATATGTCTCAAGAAATAGAAAATTCATCAATCATTATTAATAACGAAGAAAATGAATTTGGATACAATGCTTTAATTAACAAAAAATAACATTAATAAAGATGCTATAAAAAAAATCAAATTTTATACTATCAGAAAAACATAATTTTAGAAATAACTCATTAAAAAATTTCTTTTCTAGAAAAAATATTATATATTATGGAAAAATTATAGGAGAAGAACCAATACCTATAGAATCAACTCAAGGAAATATTATTATACCCATAATAAATAAACAACAAATTTATCTAATATTAAAGAAGTAGATAGAATAAAAATTGCTTATATTCATATATCAACTATTCAAGTAATTTTAAAAAATACTTTTAGCAATTTAGATACACCAATAGAATTAGAAATCAGAGCTGATCGTATATTTAATAATCAAGAAAGTATTATTGCAAAAGGAAAAGGTAATTTAATTGAAGGAAAAATAAAATTTAATATTAATATTCAACTAGGATTAAGTCTTAAAGATAAAAATCTAAGTAATAGTATTACTGTACGATATAAATTATTAAGACAAAATTTTATGTTAAAAGGTAATCATCCGTTTACTATTACATATCAAATAAATTATGCATTAACAAATTCTCATCATAGTATTACATTTAAAACAGAAGATAGAATTTATATAGATAAATTATTTACCCTTTTATTATCACTTGAATCACCAAATATGACTAATAACAGAATATTTAATGAAACCAATTTTCAACCAATAATAACTACTCCATTAATAAAAAGAAACTAAAAGATTTGTTTTCAAAAAATTAGTACCAACAAAACTTATTAATATGGAAACTTTACAAGAAAAAGTAGAAACACTAACTAAATTATTTGCAGCACTAGAAAATCCATCTGAAATTCAAGAAAATAATACAGAAATAGAACATAATTCAGATAATAACGATGCAGAAGTAATATATGATTTTTCATCCGATGATGAAAACCCTTATTCAAATTCATATAAAGAATCACAAAATAATTTTAGATTAAAACGAAAACAATCGTATGTTGAAGATGATTATCAAAATCAACATATTTATGGACCACCTTCATTAGAGGAAATTTTTTTATATAGACAAGGAATGGTTAAAAATAAACAAAACAAATGGGAAAAAATACCTCCACAATACATACCCAAATTATTTACTTTTCCAACAAATTCATATATTCTTTTTATTGATTGTGAACAAAATCCCGAAGCAAAAATTCAAGAATGGAGTAATAAAATGGGAATTAAAATTCAATTAACTGAAGAGTTAAGAAATCTACATCCAAAAAATTTTCTTAATTATATTATACATAAAACACAAGGTAATGCATACCGTTTCCTTTCATCTCTCGATGAAACAGAAACAATGATGATAACTACCACTGACGCTATGGAAACATTTAAAAATGTATTAAATCGGCTTATTCAAGAATTCATAGGAAAACAAATAGAAGATAAAACATCTCAGGAAGCTTTTTCAATTAGAATCATTATGGCATTTAACTAACCTATGAATTTGTAACATGTGTTATTTAGACCCATTTATATGTGAATATTCTGAACATTATTATAATCTAGATTTCACTAGAAAAAATATAGCATTAGACATGTTTTACCAAAAATTACCATCATTAGTAAGTCAAAGTGTAATAAAAGATTTCCAAGAAGCATTACAACAAAAAAAAATTACAGATACTTTAGGAGCACGAATAAGTATATTAAAAGCATGGATGCAGAAAAAATGTTTAGAACAAAAAACAACACAAGATGCAAAAATTGATTTATGTTGTGATACCCTTTCTAATAAAGTTAATCAATATGGTTGTAAAGACAATAAAAAACAACAATATAAAAAGAAAACTTGGAAAAACAAACTTATAAACCTAAATATAAACAATATTATAAACAAGGTGAAAGAAAATATTTTCGAAATAGAAAACAATATAAACAAAAATATCAATCTAAAACAAATTATTGTCCATCAAATAAAAAAGATTGTAAATGTTGATATGTCAAGAGGACGGACATAAATCTTATGAATGTCCAAAAAAGACCGAAAGAGAAAAAGAAACAAGTTTATTAAAAATTGCATATGATCTAGGATATGAACCTATAGAAGATTCAAATATAGATTCAGATATAGATATTTATGCATATACAACTGATTCTGATTCAGATGCAGATAGATAATCCTATGGAGAAAGCATTATTGGGATTAGAACGTGAGGGAAACCTCATATCTAACCCATCCGAAGTATACATTACCAAAGCATACAATGATATGAAAATACCACCAAAAGCATACAAAAATAAAGTATACAGTGATATAAAATATATCACCAAAGCATACATTGATATGAAAATTCTCATATCATCATTTGAAATATTAAAAACAAACAAATATCAGCAATCATTCAGGTACCCAAGAGACGCAAATATCCAATCAGCAGATATATTGAAATGGAAGCAATCATGAAGCAAATCAAACACCAGTTCAAACAAAAAGAGGAGCAAGAAGCATCATTAATCAGACAACTTGAAGTAGTCAGACGTGAAAAAGAACAACTACAACAAACATTACAAATTTTATCATCCCATTCAGTACCTAAAGAAGAAGTAGCTAGCAGTTCAACAACGAAGCAACCAAAAGAAGAGATTCAAGAAATATCATCCGATGATAGTCAACCACAAATAGTACTCAAAACAGAAAAACAACCTATAACGCCAAACCAGGAAGAATATCCACCACTTCAAGCCGATCATAAAAACATAAAGAAATGGTATGTGATTTTCAATGGAGAAAACAAAGGAATCTACGACGATTGGGGAATTGCCAATTCATATATTCTTGGAAAAAACGTAATTCACAAAAGTTACAAAACAAAAAATGAAGCAGAAGCCGCATACTACGAAGCATACAAAGCAGTCATAAAAGATAATGTCGAATGTTCAAAAACAATTCTCCTTACACCACAAAAACCCATATCCAGCTTTACCCCACAAAAACCTGTATCCATCCCAAAATCTCTTAACCAATTAAACGCAAAAATTGCCCTTGAAGCCATTCCATCAACTAAAGAAAACTATCTGCTCAAAAATTTGCCAGATTATGGGAC